AGGCTATTGTGAGGGCAAGGAAAGTTCCCCCCACCTCATAACAATTATTTTCATTTCCGGCAGTTTTTAAATCCCCAGTCACTAACAGAACCTGTTTTTGTCAAACCAGAGCCTGTTGATTTTCTGTCATGGGATATTAAACAAAATATTGGCAGACACAACTGTGTCATGCTGCCTACGTGCTCATTCGTGACCAATCTGCAGACAGTCTTGGGTCATCTACACTCTTTCCCTTCTCATATTATTCTGAGGCACATTCTAGGCATGTTATTTCACCTGTAAATATTTCAGTGTATGTTTCTAAAAGCTACAGACTGTTGAAAAGCCTAACTACAATGTCATAATCACACAAATAAAAATCCAGCATGCCAATAAATAGCATACACATCTTTTATTATTTTTCAGGCTGCTCATTTGGATCACAGTGCAAGTGAGACTGCACACAGCACTTGATTTTCTCTTGTTTCTTTCAACCTCTAGGATTTTGGTGGGGGCCTGGCTTGGTTCATAGACAGTTTAGTGCTATCTGGAGGTGGCAGTAGTGGTGAACCCATGGCACACATGTTGTTTTTCTTTTAAGACAAAAGATGTTAATGGATGAATTGTTTTTCTGAAACTAAAACCTCAGTATTCAGGTTTAATTGTAGTGTTGGCAGGCTGGCTCGCTCCCTGCCTTGTAGGTGCCTGGAAGGAGGGCCTCTGGTGCATGGGAGCCACGGGCATGGAGCGCTGGTCTTCTGGCCGGTTCGCTCCCTGCCTCGTAGGCCCCCGGAAGGAGGGGCCCAGGTGCATGGGGAGCCATGGGCGGGGAGCACCAGTCTTCGGGCTGGCTCACTCCCTGCCTCGTAGAAATTATCAATGGTTATTGTTTTACACATTGTTATCTACAAGATAGTTTCTCAGGAAAACAAATAGACAAATGACAGTGAGTTACAGACAAAAGAGGTAGGAGATTATCAATAGTTGTTGTACTATACTTAGGTATCTTCAAAGTGGCTTCTAAAGAATATAAATAGAACTATACATGAGTGACCTAGCCCTTATTTTTTTTAAGACAGGATATTACTATGTAGCTCAGGATGGCCTTGAACTCATGATCCTGCCTCAGCTTCCAAATGCTGGGATTATAGGTATGTGCCACCATGCCTAGCTCAGATGTCTTTTTCAAGGGTTCTAAACTAAGTCTCTGAGGTATCATATTACACACTTACTCTTCCTAACCTGGTCATGCTAATCTCACTTTTGGAAGACTTTCACAGGATCACACACTGCAGTAAATTAGGACCACATCCAGGGCTGGAGCATAGGATTTTTACATCACAAATCTATTATTTTCTTCCTGAGAAACCACTTTGAAGATACCACCATGTATTACAGCAGCCATTGATATTTTCCTACTAATCTGTCCATAACTCTGTAATGTTTGTATTGTTCCTATGCTATTTCGTAAATGGATGTGTTTATTACTGTTTCCTACAACAGCCATTGAGAATAGTCAATGATTATTCAATTGGTCACTCATGTATAGCTCTATTTATTTTCTTTAGAAACCACTTTGAAGATACCAAAGTATAGTACAACCACTGATAATCTCCTACCACTTTTGTCTGTAACTCACTATTATTTGTCTATTTGTTTTCCTGAGAAACTATCTTGTAGCTAACAATATGTAAAACAACAACCATTGGTAATTTCCTACCACTCTGTCTGTAATTCGGTAAGCCGCCCAATTACTGTTATCCTTCTTTTACTCTTTAAAATAATAAAAAAAGAATATAAAAAAATCTATTGTTTTCATTATATTAGGTCCTCTCTCCTCCTTTCCTGCTATTTTTTGAGAGTGCAAGTCACAAATTATTCTAATAACCTCTGCTGTAACTGAGGTAGCACAAGATTCCAATATTGTCTATGAAAAATCTTATGTCATTTTACCAAACTAACTGTATAAATGCAGTCGAACGTATTTCTTATTTGTACCTCCTTCAACAGCATCTGCCCTTTTTTTCGTTGTTGTTGTCTTTTTGACGTTGACAGCTTGTTTGGAGGTTCTAGCAGGGGAGCGCAGCTCCTGGTATACCCTTGACTGAGGAACGGCCCTCCTCTATCAGGGGTGGTTGTCTTCTTCGACTGAGCACACAGCTTCGGGAGGGACACACATGTAACGTTGAGGGAGGGAGGGGACACCCACCTAGGCAGCCAGATCAGCTGAATCAACCCTGGCGATCAATGGGGTAACAGATGTCACAGCCAGATTGCCCTCACATCCTTTTTCGTCCTTTTGGGACACGGTCTCCCAATGCAGTTTAGGCTGGCCTTGAGCTCACTTTGTAGCCCAGGCTGGCCTCGAATTTGCAAAGATCCTCCTGCCTCTGCCTCCCAATTGCTGGGATTACAGGCGTGCGCGCCATGCCCGACCAGCATCTGTCCTTCGAACTGACGAAATAGAGATGGGTAAGGCCTGGACCTCACTGGTTTGGTCAGGTTTGTGAAACCTTCCGCGTGGACGCTTGGGCCATGGTAAGCAGCAGTGGCCTGCGCCCATCCATGGCCCTCTGCCCTGCACGTGGCCTTCTCCCGTCCACGGTCCTCACCCACGCAGGGTGGCCCCCTGCCATGCATGGCCCTCACCCCTGCAGGGCAGCCTCCTGTGCAAGGTCCTCACCCCGTAGGCAGGGCTGCAGGGACACACGCGGGCTGCGAGTTCCCAGGCGAGCCTTCCCCGGGACAAGCCCGCAGGTCTGCGCACGAGGTGAGGCCCTCGGGCTTCCAGCAGGTTCGGAGACCCCGTGCTCCTCACGGCCCTCGACGCTAAGCACGCGAGCCGCGTCCCGGCTTTCCCGCCTTCTTCTCCGCTCTTCTTCAGGTACGGACAGAGCCCGTGAGGTCACACCGGGTCCTCAGCCCCCCACCCCCACCCGGCTGCAACCAGAGAACCGCCTCCGGTAGGAACGCTAGCGGCGAAAGCGGCTCCACAGCTTCCCGACGTCGCGCTGCCCACTGCCTCTGGGCTTCCGGCCGCGAGCGCCACGGACCCCGCCCGGCGGCGGGACCCGCAGTCCGGCCCGCCGAGGGGCAGGC